CCGGGCCGCGCCGGAGCCGGGGGGCCCGTCCCGCGGCCAGGCAGGGCCCCCCATTCCCACTGCAGCCCCAGACGCACCAGGCAGAACTCGCACGAGGCGCCGGGGCGGGACACGGGGCATCTTGTCAGCATCCGGGGTGACTGAGGCAGCCTGGGGTCCCCGGGGAGCCCCAGGCCGGGCAGGGCGGCGGCTCCGGCAGCCTCGGGTGGCGGGAGGTCTCTGCTCCGGCCACCCACCCATGGGGCGGAGGACACAGCCCCAGCTCGGGATAACAGCAGCACAGGGCACGGCTCTGTCCTGAGGTAACAGCCGCACAGGGCACCGTCCCAGCACAGGATAACAGCAGCACAGGGCACGGTTCCCCCTCAGGATCACAGCAGCAGCAGGCACAGTTCTACCCTGGGATAGCAGCAGGGGGCCTGAGGTAACAGCCGCACAGGGCACCGTCCCAGCACAGGATAACAGCAGCACAGGGCACGGTTCCCCCTCAGGATCACAGCAGCAGCAGGCACAGTTCTACCCTGGGATAGCAGCAGGGGGGCCCGGTTCCACCTCGGGATCACAGCAGCATGAGAGGCAGCTGCAGGTTGGAGCAGGACGCTGTGCAGGACCCGACGCTGCCGCTGCCCAGGCTGCRGCGGCCCCTGCGTCCCTGCAGGCTCCACCGCCCCAAAGGCTGCAGCACAAGGCGCAGGCTGCACCGCTAATGCCGGCAGAGGCAGCCGCAGGCTCCRGTGCGGGGACAGCCCCAGCGCCGCCTCCTCGCGCGCCCCTGCCTCCACCGAGACCCCAGGGCTGCCCCCGCCTCTCAAGAAGCTGCAAAGAAACCTCCACGTCTAAAAACATTTATTTAGCACCAATATCCCTCGCTCATAGTATGTACACATTTATTTCAGGAGGTCTAGCAACTGAAAGAAAGGCTAAGAAAAAATGATYACATCTTAATGGTACACTTCTATACAGTATTTACATGCACTAGTTACAATAATGAATACGAAGGCTGAAGGAACTGCCTGTGTTTGGGCCGTGGGGGTGCCATAAKCCCCAGTTTTCCACCCATTCCTTGCGTGTTGCTGACAGAGTACGACGCTGAACTAGAATCAGATGAAGGTGGAGGCTTGGAGCCCGATGCCTTCTTGCTCCTTCTGTACTTGTTGTAACCACTACAAAATGCAAAGAGAAAGCACGCTATTACAAATCACACTATTATTTACAATGTCATCCATTGTCAGTGTGTATGCCTTGAACATCTGCTTTAATTAAAGCAGATGTTTGGCAGGGAATGGGGCACTTGCCCCACTCTCTGCCCGCGGTGCATTTACAGTTGTATACCACAATTAGATTTCCTGTAAGAAAAAAGTTCTCTACCCAAACGACTGCATAAATGCATTTGAAATGCAAATCAAGTGTAGTTGTTACCCTGACATCTACCTACAGGTGAAAAGCAGCCTGAAATGCAGACACTGACTCCTGAACCAACCGGGCTCCTATTAATCCACTCGGTTACCAACCTTAAATGACACTTCAGGGTCAACAGCATCTGATGACATTTTAGTGGATGGGAAGGTRAAAGGGCTGGGAGTAAAAACTTACTGAGCTGGGAGCTTGTGTAGCCTGACAGTACAACAGTAGTCTCAAGCTCCAAATTGCTTCCTTTTTATGCAAAGGAAGCCTTAAGCATGGCATATGTTTAAAAAGAATGACTATAAAAGGAAAATAAGATTTTTTTTTGCTGGTGTTTTCTGATGTAATTTTCCCTCTCTCTCCTTTTTAAAACACCTAGGGAGAGTGGAAGATCCTCAACCGTTTTCCCCTTTTCTTTTGCTCCCTTCCCAATGACCACTCATGAGGTGTCCAAGCAGGAACCTTCCTGGTAGGCTGCTGACGTGAGCTCTGACTCCAGGCAGGAGTAACGCATGAGCGGGGCCGCATCTCCACGGACAGGGCCCGGCTGCCTCTTCCGTCACCCCGACACGGTTTGGCGACACATCTACCCTAGACGCTCAATGTCTCGTACTTGGATAAAGGTAAATTTAGAAGCTAAGCACTAATATCTTTTCAAGTTCAGTCTAGGCTGTTTATGGCTGTGCACCAGCTCCAACTTGAATGAAGTTTTGGGGAAACAACTGTCAGCACGAGAATAAAAAACACGTGTTGCCAAAGGGAACTGGGCAGTATTGTCTTTGCAACCACTGCACTATTCAAAACAAACAAAACCGTTCCACCGTAACCACACTTCACAAATTAGCTYGTGACCTAATTGCAGGTGAGGGGAACTATGGGCACACACTGGCAGCTCACCTCTCATCTGCCCTGCATTCCAGAAATTCAGTCAGGGGAAAGGCACATAGTCAYGGCTCGTTGCTCTACTTGTGATATAAGACACAACTCTATGTTTAATACATTAGCTGCTGGGAAATGAGGATTCTGCAYGGCAACAGAGCAATGGTGGTAAATGCTGGCACGAGAGGAACTGGTTTCATAGTGCACCACACCCAAGCCCCAAATGAACTAGAACTAATCACAAGCAACATACCCTTTGGAATAAAACTGCTGGCCACCACCATTACTTGACTTTTTCCTCTTGGATTCTCTGAAGTTTGGATACCTTTTCCTTTTCTTTCCTTGGTTTGCATTATTGCAGAAATAACTTGAAGTTGTAACTACATCTTCTTCCTCTTCATCACTCCCCAGGGCTCCAGGGCTCCCCGTAGCTGTGTCCCCGCTTTCAGCGACAGCATCATCTGCAGAGAGACCGTGAATGAAAACCAGYGAGAACAAGACACGGCCTGGGCCTGTCACAACTGCCAGCCAGGACACACCAATTGGACCAAACTTCTGCGTGCTGTTCAAAACCTCCTTTCACTGCTTGTATTCTATTTCATTCTGATGCTCTGGGCTCCAATAAAGGTCTTTCTTAGGCTGGTGTAAGGGACAGACAATAGACTGCTTTGGTTTAGCTTGTCGTGGCACACATCAGTCAACAGGCTACATTGCTACGCTTACATTAAGTTCCTAGATTTGTTAATCTCTGCACGGAACTCTCCACCAAGCTGCATGTTGAGCTTTAGGTTGTAACTGTGCAGGCCCAAGCTCAAGCACGTAAAGGAGCTGCCCGACTTTTAACATCAAGTTTAGAAATCTCAGGATAATTAAGGTTATTATATGAATCTTGAGGTTATTATGTGAATCCTGATGACTGACAGGTAATCAGCAAAGTGGGAGTCTATTTTTGTTTACCTCTCACTAACTGTTTACAACTATGCCAAATTTTCTCTGCCATTTCCTCACTGAAGGCCTTTGTATGCTCCTAAAACATTGTTCCCTCAATTGTTCCCCTTTGTAATTATTAAATTGCAAGAGTTAGAGCTTCTTACAGAGGGGGAAGAGGAAGGGTAACCAACAGGAAAACACACGTATAGGTACAAAGGCTACTATACCTGGTCGCGTCCACTCTGAGTACTTATCCATCACTTTAATGATTTCTGCACCATATTTTTCCAGTTTATCTTCTGTGACACCATCAATCTGCAACAAAACCTCCACATCGGAAGACAGGGTTTCTATAAATAAATACAACATTACAAAATAAGAATTAGAAATATCAAAACTGTTTAAGAAGAGAGAATGCTGGATTAAATAAGAAAATCCACGTAAGAGCCCAGGTGAGTTAAAAAGCAGCATTCAGAGCCATTTTTGGAGTTTTGTTAAWATAAGAACACGAGGTTGTGCTAGGAAGGATGGAGTTAGAAGTTCCTGTCTGCAGACTAAGTGAAAAAGTCTCTGATGCTTTAACATTCGTTGCAGGTACTCAATAAGCAAAGCAATGGGAGCATTACTTAYGACCCCTGCCACAGGACAGCTCACAGCAGGATATTCTGGGGGAAATTCATTCCTTTTAGCACTAAGCCTCCCAAAAGGAAGCCTTCATTCCAGCAGATTTACTTCTAGGTGGTTAGCACAAAGACTAGAAGATTGCTCTAGAAAGGCTTCCAAGTTTGCTTTGCAGGACAATTACTTGGCTGCAGGTGCAGCTGACCAGTAAGATCTCCTACAGCACAAAAATACCTCTCCGTAGGGTCTATGCTGTGCCAGCTATTTCCAAGGAAATTGCTCAGTTATGGATATTCAAACTGCTCCTCTCAAGATGTTAGAAACTGTTGATTTTCTGTGAGAAAAGGTTCTGCTTGCACATGCAGCCTACTACCTGCAGAGGTCCCAAGCAGCGAAAAGCCGACTTTACCTGCTATTTTCTTGAGAGTTGAAGTACTAAAGATGTTGAAGTAATGCACATCAAACACTTTCCCAAGAGTTTTGCATGTGTCTGTAAGTTCTCCCAGACACTTTTTAACCATCTCTTCCCGCTGGGACATTTTCGCCACGGAAGCCCTTTGCTTTCTAATGGTACTGGCACTTTCGGTTTCGTGGAACTCCACCTGGGAAAATAAACCAAACAACTTCTGTCCGGGGAGTTATTGCAGAGCCACCACTAGCAGCCTGATTGATTACACGGCAGACCRGGCAAGGAAACAAGGAGTATTGCTTAACTGAACCAAAAAAAGTAATTCACGTGGGACATTTTTAAAGTGATCTTTTTTACAGGTTACTTCATCAAGCAGCAATTCTCACCTCCCCTTAAGTATCTTCCACAAAGTACTAATGAAGTGAGTATATACAACACGGGGGAAGATGGGGAGCGAAAGCCGAGTGCAAGACCTAGCACAGGGAGCTYTGGAGAGGAGCCCTCAACGTTAGAGCCAGCGGCCCCTGCCCACCTACAGCACCAGAGCCTGTTCAAGCAGCTCTGCGACTGTTTCCACGGACCCCTCAAAGTGCATTTTACTCCACAGCTCAGCAGAGCAGGAAATGCAGGGGAAAGTTAGTGCTGTATTTCTCCTCTTAGCTGCTCTAAGAGTTGCTCATCACCTTTTCTTGGTAAGATGGAATCAGGTGGAAGGGAGAACAAAAGCAAGATTCAAGCCTCTATTCCCCCCAAACCAACCTTTTGCCTCACGGTATTATTAGAACACTGGAGTCCCTACATCTGCTAAAGATTAGCTCAATCACATTCATTTGTAAGCAAATTATGTTTAAATTGTCCTAGACTACATGCTGTATAAAACCTGCAGCAAGTTCCTTACCTGCAGCGATCCATCTAGCACAGCCCGGGCTTTCTCTCCTAGAATTATATACGCTACAGCCTGGTCGTTAGCTGTGATATATAAGTCTTCATCCAGAATCTTGTCCAGGACCAGTTTTCTGAACAGTCTTTCAACATTATGCCGTGAGTAGGCAGCACCTTTCCCAAAAATTCCGGACTGAATCTTGGCACTCTTCGTACCTGTGCAGGAGGAGCAACAGGATCAGCCTGCAGTAAGCAACTCGCCCCCACATTCCAGACCTGTGGAAGCTCCCGAGATGCATTCTGCAGCCTGGGCACAAAGGAATCCAGCCACCCCAAACCCAAACCAGCCAACACCCACACAAGCACTAGAAGCTGCAAATGCCATCAGGAAGCTCACGTTAACACTATAGCCACCTGAAAGCAATTACAACTTCAATATATCTTGCTTTTAAACCACTGGTGGTGCTACGTGCACCTTCTGATGCCTAACTAAGATTTGCTGCAGCAAGTCTAGCAGTACTCACCTAAGAAAATGTCCACCATCATATTCAATGTGTACCTTCCAGAACCCGTATTTCTCTTCCCATTTATTCCACAGTGCTCCTGTACAAATCTTAAAATGCTTTTCACTTCATCCGTTACATTTCTTGACTTGTAATCCTATTCAAATAGAGTTGATTGGGGAGGAAAAAAAGAGGTGATTTGCTTCTATTCTAAAGCAAGYTGTTACTGATTTGTTTCATTATTAAGCTTTTTCTAGGCATGAATTAATCTTGTTCCAAACACAGAAATAGCTATTTCCCCATTAGTACRTGTACAGTGATATCACATAATCACATGAATTCTGGATTAGATAATATTCTGAAAACGTAGAAAGATAAAGCTATACCAACACTTGCATATAATCTCTATTATGTTAATTTTGCACAATGAACTCAAAGATTGCTAAAGACTGGTGAGCTAGTACTAGTAATGACAGTTAATTGTTTTTAAAGTATTCCTGTAAGTATTCTGCTGCAATGCACTACAGTTTAACACTTACAGTACACATTAAAATGAGAAGACTGTAGCAAATATACATTATTTTAGCCGATTTTTATTACAACTGCAGCTGTATAGGGTGATGCTTCAAACACAAGACTGAGCAGCAACATCCTCAGCTACAACAATCCTGATGTGGCTCATAGAGCCCAGGCCTTCTCCAGTTTTCTGAACCTGTGAAACTGGGATCATGCAACGCCATGATGATAGGAGGACCTTTAGCATTTGGGTCCCTTCAACTATATTCAATTTAAGTATGAGCCCGAAGTAGGAACTGCTGGAGTGCAATGCCTCAAAACCAAC